GAGATCATGACCTGAGCAGAAGTTCTATTACTTAACCAACTAAGGCTACTTTAAATAAACATTTTTTAAATAAAAATTAAAAAAAAAAAAAAAAGAAGAGAAAGAACTGAGAAACCCAGGGCTACCCAATGAAGTGTTTCAACATGAGTATTTTATTGTGATGAGTGTTCCTGAAAATCGAAAAAGGCAACGGGCTTCTTTGTGACCAGAGATGAACCTAAAATCAGAATGCTGTGGGGAATCTTCAAATGGTGATAGGATTTGGGGTGCTCTGGGTGACTCCTGGCCAGCTGAGCATCCCACTGGCTCAGGGTCATCATCTCATCACGGCTCAGAGTTCGAGCCCCGCCAGGCCGTCACTTCTCTGTGTGCTGACAGCTGAGCCTGGAACCTGCTTCCAGCTTCAGTTCACCCTCTCTGCCCGTCCCCTGCTCATGCTCTGTTTCTTTCCTCTCAAAATAAATAAACATTAAAAAAAAATTTTTTTTAAATGGTGGTAGGATAAATAGAGTTCTCCCGCACGTAGGTTCATGGAGAGTTCAGCTCCAAGAGCCCCAAAGAAAGGAGTTAGAGAAACTTATCTTTGTTAGCCTTCTCACAGGAGAATGCCTAGCGAAAGGAAGTAGAGCCTGAGGTCTTGAAGTCTGTGAACAAATTGCAAAATTTGGTGAGAGGTAGAGTTACCAGAGAGTCAAGGACACAGGAGAAAGAGCAGGAGAATCAGGGCAGGCCTGACTGAACAAACTGCCTGTTGTCAGGAAAGGCATGGGGTAGGCAGGACTTGATCAAAACCGAGGCATCTAGATAAGGCCGGGTGCATTTAGTGTCTGGCCAACAAGAAAAGGAAGGAAGAAGGTGGAGATTGAAAAAAAATGAAGTTTCAGAGCTATCACTTTTTTCCCTAAAACTGTTCCAGAGAAAATCCTGATTATCATACAAAATTGATGGCATACTCTAGTTTTCTTTAAGACTATCTGTCCCTACCCCCTACACATTTCTTTTAAATATCTTTTTAAAAAAAGTTTATTTATTTTGAGAGAGAGTGAGAGTAGGAAGGGGCAGAGAGAGAGAGAGAGAGAGAGAGAGAGAGAACCTCAAGTGGCTCACACCGTCAGCACAGAGCCCCGGCGGGAGTTCACACTCATGAACTGTGAGCTCACATGACCAAGCCAAAAGTACCACTGAGACACCTAGGGCACCCCTCAAAAATATTTTTAAATTTTTTTTAAGTTTATTTAGTTGGAGAGAGACAGAGATAGTACAAGTGGAGGAGAGGGTGAGAGAGAGAGGAGAGAGTAATCCTGGGCAGCAGGTTCAAGCAAAGCACAGAGCCCGATGTAGGGCTCGAACCCACAAAACCACGGTGATCACGACCTGAACTGAAACCAAGAGCTGGACGCCTAACCTACCACTGAGCCACCCAGGCACTCCATTAATGTGGATACCTGAAACCCACTGGCCAGTGGGGAAACTCACAGCTGGGCCCAAAAAGACATAAAGGACAAATTGACTGTATTGAAATTTGTAAAATTGTCATCTTTAACATTAGCAAAAATGTCTTTTTTCACCACAAGATGAAATTAATTCAGCAAGGGGAAACAAATGATTTTGCTTCTTCGGGTTGTCTAGATAAAAGGTCTGTTTACCAAAAGTTTTCTCCCTCAGATGTTTTCTTATTAGAAAGATTTTATTTAATTTGTTATATGCCGGGCGCAGCCATATAAAGTAGAATAAGATATTTCTGCCTGGGGTGGGGTAGAGGAATCAGAGTCCAAAGAAGATTGGGAGGTGTGAGTTCTATGTTACCCAATTACCATATTTGTGACTTTTAAGTATGGTCCTTAGAGGACAAATAGAATTAGAGAGAGAGAGAGAGGAGAAACAGCCAGCTTCCTTGAAATAAATCAAGGAAATGTAGCCCTCTACAGGACCTACAAATGATTTCTCAACCCAGTGCATGGGGAGGGCTGTGGAGACTGGAGAGAGAGGCCAGTCCAGATGTTGAGGGTCCTCATTCTGCATTTTAAGGGAGTATGGACTTAATCCAGACAAATACACCATTTGAAGTATGATAATGCGATCCAAAAAGAGTGGAAATGACTTTGGTATTTACCGGACCAAAAAAAGTAATGAGGAGGACGCCTGGGTGGTTCAGTTAAAGGCGTCTGACTTTTTTTTTTGATTCTGGCTCAGGTCCTGACTCTCACAGTCTGTGGGATCGAGACTCCGCGCCAAGGCTCTGCCCTGACAATAAGGGTTTTCTCCCGCTTCTGCCTCCCCGCATGCTGGCTCTCCTTCAAAAAAAAAATAAACGCTAAAAAAATACACCGTGATGAGGGAAAGCCTTTGGAACCTCAACCACCACATGCTACTCAAAACAGCTTTCAGAGGTCCCCGGCCAGAATTTGAAAAGTACAAACTTCATACCTCAGATGACTAGGACTCCCAGCCACCCCTCCCAACAACAGTGCGCCTATGGCTCCTTTTCTTTTTCTTTTCTTTTTCTTTTCCTTTTCTTTTCTTTTCTTGATTTTTTTTTTTTTTTTTTTTTTTTTTATTTTTTTTTTGAAGAAATCCTTTATATATTTCAGATAGAGGGAGATGACTAATGTCAGAGTCCTAGATGAGAGTTGCTGAGCTCTTAGTCCAAAGAGTGTGTGTCTTCACTTTGGTCCTCCCACTTTTGCTCTTCCTGGGAAATACCCAAAGCAAGTCTGGATCCGAGACTGAGCCTCCCTAAAAGCTTAGAAAAACCATGCTCTCTGGCTTCCTCAAATCTCCCTTCCTCCTCACCGCGCTTCAGGTATACCTCCCCAGTAAAGCCCGGGGCTCCTTTCTTAATTATAGGAGGGATCAGTTCTTTTATTAATACCGCCCGAAGAGACTCCTGAAGTTTAACCCTTCCCTTACTCTAAAGAGCAGTTGGATGGATTTGCATGGGCTGGAGAGATGGGTGTCTTGGTAAGCATAACCCAAGAACTCTCCCTGTTCACCACAAAGGTACTACATCAAATAATGTGGTGAGAATTTACATTTATCCTGTTTACTAAAAATATATATATATAAATAAATATATATATATATATATATATATATATATATATATCCTGTTTACTGATGATAGTATCTTCTGGTTACTATGACTACTTTTTCATTCTTAGGGAATTAATTCATTTCCTGAGAGAAAACACAGCAACTTCTTTTTTTCTTTTTTTTCTTCTTTTCTTTCTTTCTTTCTTTTTTTTTTTTTTTTTTTTTTTTTTTTGGCTGCTATATACTA